CTATGCAACTATCTACATTGCGTGTGCATTACCTGCAATACCTTACAACCTGTTGTGTATCTGACTTTGCACTGTGCATTTGTTCTGTGAGCAATGTGTATATAAAAAGTACTGTGTACCTACTTTAATCCAATAAACACTGTGCATCTAATATAATATAAAATAAGCTCAGCGCATTCTATAACATAGTGTCTCCACTACAGTTATTGCCTGCACATCATATCTGTATTACTCAAACTATCTGTATTATATCTGCACTGTATCTGACATATGCATAATGTATAATTCATCTATATCTATCAATATTGTATCTGCATTACCTGTATAATCTCATAGCTTCGCATAGAAATATATAGCTTGGCAACATAGCATGCATGGTGCTGCGTACTATAATTGTGTGTATACAATAGTATAGATTTTTTTTTAATGTGTAAGTATAATTGTGTTTATATAATTGTGCACAATTGTGTTATATACCGTAGTATAGTGTTTTATTCTGCGTTTTAATACGTTAGTATAATTGTGTTTGCATAATTGTACACCATAACTGTGTTGTATATAGTAGTATAGTGTCTTATTTCGTTTGTACAATTGTGCGCAGTATAAATTCTAATATCTAATGCTTTACAAGCATAGTGTATCTGTTTTTACATTGTGTATCAATTCTGTAAGCATTATGTATATAAAAAGCGCTGCATATCTATTCAAATTAAATAAGTATTGTGTACCTGATATAATGTATTGCATAATGTATTCTCCAGAGTAAAGTTTCATCTGTAATTACTATATCATCTAATAACAAAATTTAATATTCTACAGTGTGCCTGCATGCTTTATGTATGTTTATTTGCGCATTTTACATGTGATATGTGATCTAAATGTGTCTAAATGATCTAAATGTGTCTTTAGTGTAAGTGTATACTATATATTAGCTTAAATATGTTTCATTATAAGTATGTGTTTTACTTGTATAAGTGTGTGCAAACTAGTATCTAATTTCTATTTTTATATAATGTGCTTACATGTTTTATATGTGTTATATATGTGCTTTTATATGTGTTATATATGTGCTTTTATATGTGTTTTACAAGTGTTTTGTATGTATCTTTATATGTGCAATTGTATGTACTTGTATGTGTATGTATATGCTGTAATTAGTGTCTAACAGTGTCTAAAAACCAAGATGTAACAAATCATCCGCCTATCGATCAAAACTAATGTATTCCTAAGACGCCTCTGTATGGCCATGTACAATTACGTAAAATTCTTCAATAAACTCCCAAGGTGGCCTCATGAGGCTCCTGGGAGTTGCTGCCACTAGATAGGGCGGAGGGCGCGGGACATATGCCTGTTTACCTCTGTTAAACATCAGGCGTCCCCGTCCTCCGTCACCTGTCACCGTCACGGGTGTATTGTCATTTTAAAAGCACGAACTTAAATTTAAGCGAGATATTACGTTGAAATATTACTGTGATGCTTTTCTGTATATTTTTGCTTTCTATGTACAATTTACTCTTGAAATATATTTAATCGACTACGAAAATAATAAGTAATTTTCTCTTACAATTACTAAAACTATAACTAATACTAAACTATAGCTAAGTACTAAAATGCCTAAAAATGAATTTTGAAAGTTTTTCTTTAAAATTTATAATTTTGTGCTGCTTTTTTAAATTATAGGTAAATTTTAATTCCTAGCATTATAACTAATCAAAAATAAGAATATTTAAGAACGAAAAGTATACATCTTATATAGCTGGTTTTGTTGTTAAAAGCTTAGCTTATAAAGTAAAATGTAATATCTGTTTCTCAGCTTTAGTTTCAACAGAACCATATGATGGTTTTCTAGGTTTCAAATATTATAAATCTGGATGTAAAGGTTTGACGTCTCCTTCCAGTGACGTCCGAATGATCTGCAAAACTGCAGAAATAATTTTTAGGCAGACTGAAAAGGAGTTTAAATTGAATAAAAAAAAATATTATAAATTTCATGACTCTAAAAGTCTTAAAAAGCGTAGGAACACATATTTCCTACTCTTCAAAACCATATTTATGATGATGAGCCAGATAAAACCCACCTGATTAAATTAATTAAAGCAGTGATATTTCAGCATTTAAAAATCAGAATGCATCATGCAGTTGCATGTTACAATGAATCTAAACAGAGAGAAAATTTTCGAAGCAGATTTACTAAATTAATTTTATTTAAGCATCAATAAACCATATTATCTGTTTCTCTTCCTCTCTCTCTCTAAATATATATATATAAGTGTGTGTATTTATATTAATAGATAAATAGATATAATCTTTTTTTCACAAATATTTGAAATAAAAAGTGAAGTAAGCGAAGTTTTCAATGCAACAAATATCCTAAATTGTTTACTTTCATACATGTGTATTTATGGATGTATAGTCATTCTGCTTAAAGTATTTACAGGTATATAAAATTACAAGGTTACTTTAGGCGCATTAAAAGATTGGACGTATAATATCTTGTATTTTATAGTAATTATTTTTTAAAATTTATTTCTAGTTCCGCATAAGATTTTTTTATTTACTGCGAATTTTTTTTGAGTTTTTACCGTTTTATCAAAGTAATGATGTTTAGACAAGAATTACGCTTATGCTCAAAATGCAGTAAAAAAATACTCAAAATGCACTAAAAAGTGGTTTCATAAGATATATAAAATCTTATTAGCAAAAACTGTGATTTTTATTATCTCATCATTTATACAACGTATCACATTTAATAATTAAAAAGAGTTATGTGATACAAACGCCATATGTTTCAATGTTACGATAAACTAAATCGTCCCTACTCTCTCTTCCCGACATGTGTGTGACGCTTGCCCCGCCCACTGGGTTAGTCTATTTCTTATAAGGTCCATGACTTAGGAACTTTTTTATCCCTTACAGTAAGTAATTTGATTGCAAGTAATCTTATAAAAAAATTCTCGTTAAATAATCCAGCAAAAAGAAATTGCTAAATCTAAAAAATAAATTAAGTATGCAGCTATTAGTCTTCTGTTTTCTGTTTCCCATCGCCTCCTATTAAAATAAAGGGCAATATGCATTTATTTTTTCTGTTTTGAAATATTGATTCAGTTTTACATAACCAAGTGTACTTATTCCCCAAATTAAAGTGATTAAAGTGCAGATAAGCTAACAGTAATAGTTTTCCTTAGATATAACACTGGTTATTTGTCTTCCATGTACTTTTTAAATTGTTCTCGGATTAACCGCCATTTTAGGTTAACCGTGGATATCGTTCTCGTCATTACCTCAGTTAATCGGAAGTCTACCGCAGACTTTTAATTTGAATCTCTAAAATAAACTACTAAGTTTCGTATGCTAAAACATTTAAAGCTAACAAATACCCGGAAAACATTTCTATTAAATCTTAAAATTAACAGTAATTTAAATTTAAATTGGAGTTAATTTCACAATAACGTCCTCTAAAATTAAAAGTAGACATCGAATTTTCTCTCATTTTAAGGTTTCATTTTTTTTTAATCATGGCAAAGCCCGCGATGGCTATCTGTCGAAAGGGAGAGATACCTTCGTGGAGAACGTCTTAAAGGAAACTGGCTTGTATACTGTTTACATGGATAAAACCACGAAAGTGCCCAAGCAGCCAGCTCGTTCGCCTGATATCGAAACCAAGCAGTGTTCAGCGACTTGACCTTTTGGCCGCTGGTGGGCCCTCGTTTTAAGTTTAAACCCACCAATGGACGTGTGAATATGATTGCTTAATGCTGGTTTAGAATTTCTATACATGGGCTGGAAGTATGGGAGTTTTCGAAAGTTTTCCCATATGTAGCCTTCTTAAACCGTCTGAACGGTATAGTGGTCAGTGACTCTGACTACAGCACCGAAGGGCCTGGTTTCGAATCTCGGAGAAGGCATGGATGTTTATAAATGTATAGCGTCTGTGAGGTGTGGTTTGGTGGTAGAGGAAAACGGGTTGGAGACCCTCAGACCCATTACCCGAGGTGCTCTCTCTCGAAGATGGATGGAATTGGGGAATTGGATGGATATGAAGGAGTGGGGAAAGTCGTACGGAATTGAAAAAAATCTCTCTGTAAGGTGCTCTTGCGAGAGCAGAGTAATCTTGTACTGTGTGCTACGATTAATTTCGTGGACTTGTTCTGATGAGGGCAGACGAGTAAGATTAGTCAAAACAACATAGCCTTCTTAAGCCTTTTTCTTTGTGAACGTTGCTAATTGTTATTAAAATTAAAATGTGCAGGTTGCTGGTTATTGTAAAATACCTTAGATTCAGTTTATTGTGTAAATTTTAGATGAAATAAATATCAAAAGTCAGATTGACGGATTTTCAGCTTTTCTCATATAAATAATATCGAGAATACCTAACGTAATTTTTTTTACAGCTTGTACTTTTATTGTCTTCTTTTATCCGAATATGCAACTATAAGGGAGGCCATCAAGGTACAGTAAATTGTAATAAATTGATTTTTTTAATTATTTAAATATCCACTTTGAACAACATCATACTGAATTTAATCTTGCAATATATTTTTAATCAATTTCTCAAGAAGTTTCAAGAAATCGAGATAGTGAATATTATCCAGGAATGAAAATAACAGAAAAGTCTTAAGTGCTATGTGTAATATAAATACGCTATATGCTTCGTTATTACGGTCTACACAAAGGCATCCCTTCCCTTCGGTAATCATCATTCAAGTGCTTTGGACAATCAGAAAATCATCATAATAATTACACAAGAAAATGTTACTGGACCAAAAGAATTACCAAATCAATCGTTTGGTTGAGTACTATTCAGTGCTGTGTTATACTGTGAACTTGAATTCACAGGTCGAATATATTTCGTATTTGTAAACTAGATCAAATGGTTGGCATTTTGTTTCCATCAGTTTCTTAATAAATAGTACTTTCAGAATGTTACTTATCTTTGCATTGAAAATAATTTTAATATTTCAGAATTACTCCACAAAAATTTTAACTTTTTTTCGTCTTACCGTTTTGTGACTTTTTTGATGACTGACTGACTGATGAGATTTCTGTTCTGTTAACGTAGTACGTGTACATATAGCAGGCAGGGCTATGCTTGAGAGGAGACACTACGTGGTATGTTGAAGATGGGATCTGAAAATTTATAGGAAATTCGTCAGAAATATTTTGTTAATTCTGAGATTATAAATATCATAAAAAGTACACTGCCCTCCTAAAGTTAAGGAACAGCATGTTTTTCAAAGCTGATCATTAGAAAAATGTCAGTAACTCATATATTCGCAGTTCATATGCATGACAGTAACAAATATTCAGAAAATATATGCAAAAACAATAGGTACCATGTTTATTTTATAGAACTGAATACTTATATAGAAGTTGGAGAAACAACTCAAAGATTGTAATTTTTGTTCACAAGTGTTGATCTTCAGTTGTTATTACACTTTTATGGACACTATCCAGGACAGCCTATCAATGTCCAGGAGAAGTCATTTGCCCGATTCGTTGAGGTGGCGGGCGATCGGATGGACGGAAATGGATGTCACAAGTTGATGCTGCTAGACGTCTCAATGTCTTTGAATCAGAGGATTCTGTGCCTAGAAAATTTATTCCTGGCAGACTTAGAGTTACAACACCGAAGGAGAAGTAACATTACTGTGCCTCAGCTTATGGCAGATCATATATAGTGGCAACAGGAACAAGAATCTCAGCGACTACAATGCGCAGATCCCTGCACAATACAGGTCTGTAGGCAAGTTGTTTGTGTCTCCTTGACCCGAGGACACAGAGGTATCCGCTTATGTTGGGCAAGAGAACACGTCTCCTGGACTAGTCAACAATGGGCGTCTGTTCTCTTCACAAACGAGTTCAGGTCCACATTGGCGAGTGACTCAGGTCGTCAGCTGACCTGGAGGGAACAACGCACCAGATACAACCAATCCCACATTGTGGGAAGATACAGTTACAGAGGTGGTGGAATAAGGTTTGGGCTGGGATCTCTCTCGGTAGTCATACTGGCCTGCATGTGTTCCATGGAGGAACTGTGAGCGGTCTGAGATGGTGATGAGATCCCTGATCAATACATACGCCCATGTGCTCTATTGGTCCTGAATTTCTTCTGATGGACGACAATGCGCGACCGCATCGAGCTCGGGTTGCGGAAGAATACCTTTAAGGGTCACGGTATGGAGTGGATGGAAAGGCCAGCTCAATCCCCAGACCTGTATCCGATTGAGCATTTTTGGAACTACCTCGGGAGACAGATTGCTGCTTTAAGTTCTCCCCAAGGTCGTTATATGAGCTTGAACAAGGTTTACTCCGCGTCTGGTCGTTGCTTCCCATTTCACTGAACGACAATTTAATTGACAGCATGGAACGTCGCTGCCGCCACTGTATTGCAGATAGGGGTGAACACATTCCTTATCAGAAACTATTTTTGTAATGTTACCCCCATTTTTTTCCCCGAAAATCTGTGAAGTGTTCAAGTGTATCATTTGTACTAATAGCCACGAAAGGTAATACACGATTATGTGTAATCATTAATTGTCATCGTTCACACTGATGCACAATTTTCATTTTCAGTGTATCATTTCTGTCAACGTATAGGCGTGTATGTATCATTTTTATTGATGTGTGCATAGCACAGTAGAATAAAACATGATTATGTGTTTTCATTTATCGCCATCATTCGTATTACTGTGCATGTGTCGTTGTCAGAATATCATTGCTATTAATGTTGGGCTAATGTTTATGTTAAGTGTTTATGTATAGTCATACAGGATGATACACGATTACGTGTAATCATTATTTGTCCTCTTCTGCATTAATGTACCAGTTGCATTATCAGTGTATCATTTCTTTTAATGTATAAGTGTTTATTGTTTGCCTATCTCATTAACCACTTAGGCCGTTATTCTAGATAGGTGCGGGTAACCGGACGATACCCGATTTGTCATATAAAGGGGTGGCCGGCCCTGCATTCACCTGTCACCAGTGATATACTGTTTCTTCAAGAGTGCAATTTTTTGTTGTATTTCATATTTGTGTTAAACTTTAGAAACGTTCTATGTCGCATTCATTAAGGAACTGTTTAGTGAACATCTTCTGTAAATTTCTTGTTTGCATGTTGCTTCATTCTCAAATTAGACACAAAAACATGCTGTTCCTTAACTTTTGGACGGTAGTGTATATGAATATAAGAAAAATATTAATTGGTGGTGCTTTCAGCATATTCTTAAATCTATACTCACTTCCCATAATATAAAAAAGTTTGGGAGATGTTGTGGACACTACGAAATAACGAAACTAATTTCTTTTGAAATTCATCTTTCATTTATTGAAAATCTAAACCACTCAATCAGCAGCCATTCAAAACATCTATCAATCAACATTAGTATCAAAACATTAGTATCAAGAAAGAAAACTATATTGGCGCATGCGCATTACAAGAATCGTTGCTAGGCAACGGCGGTGAAGAAGAAGATAGTCGCTGGGCGCCAACAGCAGCTGCTATTTGTTTATTTATTTCGAATGTAAAAAAGTTTCGGTTATGGCTATCAACACAAACTTGTGCTCTAAAATGTAAAGTCAAACAGAATTAAAGTCATTAATAAAGTTTGATTACATAAATACAAATTACTTACAACTATGACCTTGATAATCTACTTAAAAATTAAATGAAACTGCGCATCCTCAAAACAATAATTTTTCGACTCTTCTAATCGTGAAAGGTATCATTCGTAAAATAATAAATATTTCATGGACTTCCTTATTATCGGATCGCTTAGTATCTGAGTCAAGACTCTGAGGCAACGCATTAGTAACAGGAAATGTGTCTGGAAGTTTTCAGTACGTCAATTTATGTCTATAATTTCGGACATTTGATAAGCAGAACCTCTAACGCTTGACTTTCCCTGAAGTTCAGCAGTTTAATATGCACATTATACACTGAACTCGAGAATACTTTTTTTCGTGAAATGATCAATAATGTTATGTAAAATAATGATTTGATATCATTATTTTACATAACATTATTGATCGATAAAACACGCCACAAAAGTGATCGTGCACCGAAACATTTTCGTAAAATTATCATCTACCATTTTTTTTTTTTTTTAATTTCTGTATTTTGGTGACATTTAAACAATTGTTTCGCTTTATTTTTTCTTGCTTACTTCGTTATATTTTATTTAATATTTAAAACAGCTCGTAGGCACAATGAACAACATTCGAAAATTGTACATTTTTCATCATAAGGATGGAAATTCGATTCTGTTTATGACTAAATTAGGAAAGTTATCCCATACTATGGTGCAATATGTGATAAAATTTCAGAAGACAAACAACAAAAATCAGCGTTATATTTACAAAATTTCCACAGGACTAGTTTCGATGGTTTTGATAGTAGTTTAAAATACATTTTATGCTGCTAAATTTGCGTCAGGATTTGGATGATGTGGTGTTATCAATTCAGGAAGTAGCAAAAATAACTGTTGATCACAGCTGAAATGCATGGACTTTAAGTATGTAATAAAATAATAATAATAGTAAGAGTAAGTATGTAATAAAATCAAAACGTGTGGGATAATGACAGTAATATCATTCGTAAAATAATAAATATTAATTAAAAATAGAAAAATTTAATTAAAAAATAGGAAAGATTTAAAAATAGAAGTATCTCCAGTCACCACCAATGACGACTATTGCTTCTTATTAATGACAAAATCAAGTAACAGGCACAAATTGTTTCTTAAAAAGGCATCTAAGAAACACTGAATACCTTGTAGTACATAGAGCGTCTACAAAGTTTTAGAGCTAAGTTAACGCAAAATCGAAATTTGGAAAAGGGGGAAAGGTACTTACGTATCATTGCAATCACCTTAGTGGGAATCGCCAAAGCTTCAGAATGCACCAAACTTTGATAACCACTATGACACTATAACAATTATTCAGGCAACCATCCAGATGACAAATATTCAGTTTTCAACGCCACCATTTTCGTATGTGGTGTTCTTGTTCCAACGGCTTTTATAAAAAATGTATGATTATTTTTTGCTTTAAACTCGATTTTAAAATTTGTGGTTGTAGGATTTTTCTATAATAGAAGAAAGGGAAGTGAAATTTATGCAGGAATGCATTATTTTGTCGCAAAACCACTAAGGGAACAATGCTTTGAATTCTTTTTCAAAGCGATCGCTACGAAATTTCCAACACCACAAATGCAAAAACTCGTTTATTAAGATTACTAATTGTCTTTTGAAATAAACACAGTGTCTCACAAAAATGTTGGCTCACTTTAGTAATTTGCAGAAAAAGCGCTGTAACCCGGAACTGAATTTGAATATAAAGGCCCAATATTTTTTCATATCATCTCAATGTGACTTTGTATAAAACCAAACTTTTTAATTTTTTATACTGACTTATTTGCTTTCTTTAAAATTGAAAATGTCAGGAGGCATAGATAAAACACGCCACAAAAGTGATCGTGCACCGAAACATTTTCGTAAAATTATCATCTACCATTTTTTTTTTTAATTTCTGCATTTTGGTGACATTTAAACAATTGTTTCGCTTTATTTTTTCTTGCTTACTTCGTTATATTTTATTTAATATTTAAAACAGCTCGTAGGCACAATGAACAACATTCGAAAATTGTACATTTTTCATCATAAGGATGGAAAATTCGATTCTGTTTATGACTAAATTAGGAAAGTTATCCCATACTATGGTGCAATATGTGATAAAATTTCAGAAGACAAACAACAAAAATCAGCGTTATATTTACAAAATTTCCACAGGACTAGTTTCGATGGTTTTACCGAACCACCATCCTCAGCTGCAAAACCGCAAATGAACAACATAGGAAAAAATGATTAGATAAGATAAGAAAGCCTGGACAAGAATAAGAAAGTGGCGTCATCTGTTGGTGAAACCAGAACTAAAACATAATTTCTTTAAAGGCCGAAGGCAAATTTGGATTGGAATTAGGATCGTTAACTAGAACAGAAAGATTTTTATGAATGTGAAATGCCTCTAGGAAAATCCAGTTCTCCAATGGAAGATGTTTTTTGAATAATTTTGGCAGCAGAAAAATTGAAAGTGTGATTTTCGGACCAACAATGTTGCGCAACAGAGGA